AAATAATTACTGAGTGACTACTCTATGCAAGCCCAAATTGTAGGTGATGGGAATAAATACGAATCCATCTCAAAGTAATCCCATCTCTTTTATCTTTTAAAACTTTAATATATATACAAAGTTTTAAAATATTATATATAAACTTTTAAAATAGAAAAGCAATGGGATTACTTAGAGACTGATTCATATTTGAATTTCACAACATTCAAATATATTTATATGAATTTTTGTCTCCAGGCCCAACCCCTCTTTTGAGTATCAAATTCAATAATCTAATGTGTCTCCTGTTCCTTGTCTGAACATACTTGTAACTTTCTAACCATGGAATGGCATTCTTGAATCCCTCTACAGACACGGTCACTCCTAAGCATTCCCTGGCTAAGAAAATGAGGCCACCATACTCCACCCCCGCATCATCCATTGCGACTTCACACCGAAACACTTTGAATTTTATCCTTAAAAAGATTTTTATTCTATCTATTCATCTTTATTTCCATTGCACCCAGCTTCTTAATTGGTATCTTGATTTCCCCCCAAAGACGTCTCCAAACACACTGATCTGACCCTTTGAGAACACCATTGGATTACATTACTTCCACGTTAAAACATTTCAAGAATTCCGAGCTGCATGTATTCTTAAACTATTCTACAGGTTATTACTCCATGCCCTGATCCGATTAGAACACATTGGAACCGTTGTCCTTACATAACGAGTAACAGAGTCCCTCTCATTCCACACATGGTCCAGTGTGAGTAACAAATTGCAAGGCTATCCGATGTCCAGACCTTGTCTGATATTCTCTTTTCCTTAAATCTTCCCATAAACGTGTGTGTCTTGCTTCAGTGAGTTTTTTCCCTAAGTAACCCATGAAATTATTTTTGTTCTTTAAAGTAGGAGCCACCCTGTTTATACTTGTTTTATTTATTGACTGTCTGTTCAACAACAAGAGAACCAGGGCTAATGACATCAGTCTTCAGGTGCCGTGGAGTCCATTTTGACTCACGGCGATCACGTGACACACGGTAGACCTGCCTCATAGGGTTGTCTTGGCTGCAATCTGCACAGAGGCAGACTGTCAGGTCTTTTTCCTGTGGAGTTACTCGGAGGATTCTAACAGCCACCCTTCTGGTTAGCAGCCAAACACTTAATCACCGTGCCCCGAGGGCTCCTATGCCCATGCTATTTATCTTCATATTCCTTAGTCAGCATTGTTTCCGACACATGGTAAATTCCCAACAAATATTCTTTTTGAAGAGTTGTTGACAAACTAATCCTGCCATGAAATCAGAGACAGATTTTCAAGACCCAAACTAGTCCCAAAGTGAAAATAGAGAGAAAGGGGTGTGTTTGGAAAGGCTTGACAAAAGGAGGCAGCCCAGTCACCTCTGATAGATGAATAAGAACATACAGAGTGAATCAAGAGCTTGATTCTAAGAAGAGAAAATAGCATATGTCAAGGCAAAAAATGTATAACATGAGAAATCAAAGCAGTTTCCATTGTTAAAGTATACAGTCTTATTTAAGTGATATCTTAATGCCCTAAAATCTTGAAGGACAAAATTAACTGTAGAAATTATTGAATGAAATATATAGAGCACTAAGAAATTTAAAATTTAGCTTTGTTTTCATTTATAGTCCTATGATGATTTACTAGAATTCTGATTATATATTTATTACACATAAATTATAGAAAGACTTAGATAAATAAATCAGGTTTGAAGACTGTCATTCAAACTTTATTACGGTAAGGAATCCTCTCAGTTGTTTTTATGACTAAATATTTACAAAATTAAAGTAAAAGATCCATAAGGAAATTATATTTAGATTTAGAATAGACAAAATGAGTTTGTCACTTAACATTTTTCTGTTGTTTTAAAGAATTATATAAAATTTCTGCTTTAGGTAATTTACCATTATATATTCTAGATTCAAAAGAAAGAGGTCCACTACTAAATTACCATTTTGACATTTATATTATAAAATGAAAAGATGAATATGTGGATATGTAAAATTTAAAGCATCCTTGTTATATAGTTGGATGTACCTAAGAGTTGAAATAGTGGATTAAAATTCTTCTTGACCTTATTCTTCAAAAATAAAGATTTAGAGTAAGGCACTAGGTACAGACACTCTTAAACGGCTCCTTTGAACAGAAAGCATGTCTACCAGAGTTGGCACAGTGATGGGTGACAGCACATACATGCTTTGTTTAGTACCCAGCATGCTGCAAACATTTGAGTCGAGATTTAAATTTTCACATAATTGCAGAACCTCTGACAAATTAGAAAGCCAAGCTAAACTTAAACCCACCCCCCACCACCCGCCCAAACCATAGTGCTGTTGGAATGAGTAGTTGTTCTCTAATTCATTAGAGAAATCCGCCCTCTGTACCACATACACTTCCATAATTCGCACTCCATGTGAGACCTCTTTGCGGTTAGGGGCCTTCAGTTGGTCTCTGACCTATGGTGACCCCTAGACCACAAAACAAACCACCGCCTGCCTCTGTGACATCCGCAGGACTGTTAGGGTTGAGACTATTGTGGCAACCACGGTGTCAATTCAGTAAGACCTGCTGCCAGATCAAAAATGTCTGTCATTAAAGAGCAATGGAAAATTATCAAAATTCCTGGAATTTAATAATTTGTAATAATAACAGGGGAAAAATACAGTCTATTTTATGAAAGTCATTTATAACAGAGATGTGGACTTTTAACCTTTTCTTGCTTTGGTTTTGTTTATTTATTAAATATTATTCCAAAACAACAACAACAAAAAACCCTCAAATTCAGTATAATAATTATTTTGGTCAATGCAACATTAATGACATCTGGTCATTGTAAAATTCATGACATAATTAATTGAAAATGTTTACATCATGTTAAATAGAGCATAAATATATTTATGCATAAGTATATGCATGCATCTATAATGTTTTGTTAGGTACCCTGAAGTTACTTTCCCATTCTAGTCACCTCTGCACAGCAGCATGAGGTACTGCAGGTGCTGTACCATTCCCACCACACCTGCTCTGTGTGTCCTTACAGCTCATGGAGCCTCTTCCCCTTTTCATTGATCCAAGATTTTCATGCATGATCACCTTCTCCAGGGATAGATACCTCCCGATAACATGTCCAAAGTACGTGAGACAAAGCATAACTACATTAGCTTATAAAAAGTATTCTGGTTATACTATTCCAAGTCAGATTTATTAACCACATGGCAGCAATTTTCTCCCCAGAATTGAACAGCCCGTTCTTTCTTCATTCCTGTTTCATTGATTATGCAAAGGCCTTCGGCCCTGTGGATCATAATAAACCACGGACAACACTGAGAAGAATGGAAATTCCAGAACACTTTATGTGCTTAGGCTGAACCTTTACATTGACCAAGATGCAGTCCCTGGAACAGAGCAAGAAAGTGCTATGTTGTTGGAAATCAGGAAAGATGTGTAAGGGTTAAATCTTATTCAATATGTGGTGTAGTGGTTATAAGTTGGGTTGTGATCTGCATGTTTGGCAGTTCAAATTGGCTTCTCACTCCTGTCATCAGATATAGTTTCAGAAACCCACAGAGGGTCCTTATGAGTCACCATTGACTGGATGGTGGTGGAGTTTTTTGTTGTGTTCATTTTATGCTGAACAAAGAAAGTTTGAAGCTCGGTTACATGAAGAAGAATGCAGCTTCAGCATTGATAGAATGCATATTAACAACCTGCAGTATGAAAATGACATGTCCTTGCTTGCTGAGAGCAAAGGAAACTTTAATCACTTGCAGATGAAGATAAAGGACGCACCCTTCAGGATTGATTGCACCTTGGTTTAAAGCAAACCTAGATCTTTAACAACTGGACATTTGTCAAGTAGTCACTTTGCCTGGACCCACAGCAATGCTATTGAAAACAGCAATTAAGAAATCTAAACAACATATTGCATTGGGCAAATCTGCTTCAAAGACCTCTTGAAAATGCATTGAAGAGCTACGATGGTGCTTCAAGGACGAAAGTGCCCCTGACTCAAGTGTTGGTGTTTTCAATGGCCTCATACCCAACTGAAAACTGGACATTGGACCAAAAGAGAATTGATGCCTTTGAATGATGGTGTTGACAAGGAATATTGGAAGTGGCATGGACTGTAAACAAGAACAAACAAAACTGTCTTGAAAGAATTACAGCAAGAATTTTCCTTAAAAGGAAGGATGAAAAGACTTGTTCTCGAGTACTTTGGACCTGTGATCAAGACAAGCCAGCCCCTGGAAGACAACATCATGCTTGGTAAAGCAGAATGCCAGAAAAAAGAAGACCCTCGATGAGATATATTGATATAGTTACTCCAACCATGAGCTCAAACATAACAATAATCAGTAGGAGTGAGAAAAATCTCGCAGTGTTTGGCTCAGTTGAACATATGGCCACTATTAGTCAATGACACCTCAAAACAGTGTTACAAATAAGCCAAGCCAACCTCAATGGCTCTGAGTTGACTCTGACTCGCAGTAACCCTATTTAGCAGAGTAGAGCCATTCCTTAGGGTTTGGGCCCTGTGGGCACAAAGTCTTCCCTTTCTCTGTTGGAGCTGCTAGGTTCTTCCTGATAACCTTGTGCTTAGTAGCCCAAGGGATAACCAATTCTTACGAACTGGTATGACCTTGTGCTTGGCAGCCCAAGGAATAACCGATAACCAGCAAGGCTCTATGGCATATTCAGCATTCTTTTCCAATTCTAGAATTAAAACCCATCAGTTCTTTTGTGGTCTTTCTTATTGTAGTTCAGCTTTCATATGCTTATGAAGCGATTGAAAAAAACCCAACATGGTTTGAGTCAAGTGCACTTAGTGCTTAAAATGACATCTTTACATCTCAATATTACCTGATTACCTATATTTCAATATCAGCCATCATTTATGTTATTTAATAGGTGAAAGGCTTCATCTGCTATTTTAGTTCAAGCGATCTATATCCAGAAATGTGTTTTTTTTCACCGAAAACAATGAGCACTTACCTTAGCTATCTGGACACACCAGTTAAGCAGCAGCTGTGAACCAATGTTATCCTTGTGTTCATGGACATAATCCAGGAGGCAGCCATGGGGCATAAGCTGAGTAACCAGCTGAATGGTTGGGCTCAGGCACACACCAAGTAATCGGACTAGGTGTGGATGGTCCATACTTGCCATGATCAGAGCTTCCTGCCAGAACAAAAATATATATAAGGTCATGAGTTCATCTCAGAGTTTTTGCTTTATGCTAATGATAGTTAATGATATTGAAAATATACTTTCATTTAATGGAAACTGTGAAAAATAAAGACATTACTGTAACTATTACAAAGCCACTTAGTTCCATGAAATAAAATGACATCAATGTTTTTATGTAGATTACACTCAAGGGTATCATAAAGTGACTCTTTATAAAGTTAATAGAAATATTTTCTTATATATACCATGGAAATATTATATTTTACTTATTGCTAAGTACATGGAAACTGAGTCCCAACTTACATTATGGAATCTTTACACTTTGACCTTTCTTTCTAAAGTAGAAATAATCTATACAAACACATTTGTTTGCAAGTGGGGTTAGGGAGCTACCTTTTTGAAGACATGCATAATTGGTGTGGAGTTTGACAGCATGCATGTAATGTGTATAAGTAATGCACAAAGTGCAATTTTTATACAATTTTTTAAAGGCCCATGGTGAATTTATATGGAAGATGAGTTATTCTTATATTTCCCCCTCCTGATTTAGCCTCTTCTTTATTTCACCTCATTTTGGAAACTCTAAGTTACACCTTATTCTTAATATTTGAAAGCTTGGTCAGATTATATTACAAAATGTTTACTCAAATTTTCTCACTTTCATAAAATGAATAAAATTGAATTTTTACTTTCCTATCAGAATCAAAACTACTTTTGAGTAAGAGAGATACAATATGGAGATTATGGTTACTTAGCAAGTATTGGAAAAAAAAATCGACTCTTGCTGCCATCATGTCAATGCTGACCCTAGCGACCATCTGGGGGTTTTCAGAAGTATAACTGTGGGAGCAGAAAGCCAAGTCTCTATCCTGCATAGCCACTGATTGCAAACTGCTGGTCATGTAGACTGCAGCCCAAAGCATGACCACTACACCACCACTGACGGTAGCCTGAAATAAAATGCTACTTTAAGTGTTTTTATTATACCTTGAAAGATATATGGCAATAAAGGATATATTTAGGGCTTCTCTTGTGGTTTGATATATGATATTTTGTATGGATAATTAAGGAAAATAATGTTAATAATGGTAAAATTTTTCTTTTAAAATTATTCATATCATCAATTATGTAGTATGCTTATCAATGATATTTAACTGAAAGTATAATCACAATGAAACAATAAAATTATCTATATTGTGGACACTCTGAAAATTAAATTAAAAATATCAATCGATGAGAGGGAAGAAGGCAGAGGGAGGGAGTTAGCTAAAGTTCATGCTATGTGTTGAATTGCCTCCTGTAAAAATCTCTACTGTAAATCTAACCCCTACATGTAGTTAGAATCCCTTTTGGGAATGGGATTTTTGTTGTTGTCATCTTAACAAGACAGCATTGGTGCAATGTTTGCTTTCATTTAATGTTTTTCAGATATACAAAGGGCAAAGGAGCTTTGGAGAAGCAAGGAAACCAAATCTAATTTATTGCTATTGAGTCGATGTCCACTCACAGTGACCCTATCAGGCGGTTTAGAACCACACCTATGACTTTCTGAGATTGTAACTGCTTACAGTGTAGAAAGGCCTGTCTTTCTCCCCAAGAGACAAGCAGAGATGGGGGAATATAGACTCCAGGCCCCATGAAGCTGCCTAAAGAGCCAGGGATCGATACTCAAACACAAAGACCATTCCCAGAGTCAACAGGATAGAAAGACCCCCCTAGGGCTGAAGTCCCAATTTAGACTTCTAGCCTCCCAAACCATGAGAAAACCCACTTTTGTTCATTAAAGCCACCCACTTGTGCCATATATGTTACAGCAGCATTAGACCTGCTCGTGAATTCAGTCGCCAACTGCAAGGCCAGCCATTCTAAACCACCAGCCCCATAAAGAGTTACAGACCTGGAAACTTACAGGGTCAGGTCTACCCTGTCTTATGGGGTCATTGTAAGTCAGAATTGACTCAATGCAGCGGATTTGGTGTTGGTTTGAGATAACAAAGAGACAGAACAATGATGGATCTTTGAAACCTGCACTGAAAACAACAAACAATAGCTATAAGGTAATTGCTTGGGAAGACTGGGGAAATGTGAATATAGACTATACCTTATGTTACATTTCAGCAATATTAGATCATTGGAAGTAGTTACGGTGACTTAGTGTCATAGAAAATGTTTTTTATTCTTTAGAGGTCCGGAACAAAATGAAAAAAAAGAACCTGGTTGAAAACTGCCTTCAAAAGAACTAATGAAAAAGAGAGAGACTATGTGTACAGGCAGAGGATAGAGAAAATAGACATATGAACATATATGCAAAAACAAACCAAACCCTCGAGTAATTTCGGACTCAAAGTGACCCTGTATAGGATTTCTGAGACTGTAAATCTAAATGGGAGCAGACAGCCTCGTTTTTATGGGACTGCTGAATTTGATCTGCCTACCTTGTTTCGTAGGCAGCCTAATGCTTATTTAGTAACCTAAATAAGCTTATTAATTAGAAGCCTAATGTCTATTCCACAGCACCACAAAGGCTCCTTATGCACATATAAGTATATTCTTAATAAATTCACTAAACTGAATAATAGAAGAGTATTCACTGTATTGTCATTGAACATTTTTGGGTAGCTTTCTCATTATTCAAAGCAGAATGCTAAAGACAAAAAATCAAAACAAAAACAAATCTATGAGCTTCTAATTACGATGATATACCAGACTGAGTATAACACTCACTTCATTTTCTCTCTGTCCCACTATATGGACAATGAGGGAATTACAAAGACACCAACAACGGCCGAGGGGACAATAAAGAGAATACAAGCAGTATAAGAAGCGCTTTACTTGTAGCACCTGACTTGGCAAGCATACAAAATACAAACCCTACACTAGTAAGGGAGAAACCAGGAACCAGCCCAGTTTCCCCAAAGGTGTGTGCCTCCAGAGGCTCAGGTAAAGGTAGCCCCACAGGCTACCACATATGGGGGGGTGGGGTTGGAAGAAGTTGTCATTGTACATGTTTGAAAGGTAATGGTCAGAAAACAGTGAAAGCCACACTCGGACCCCCAATAGTGGCAAAGTACAGGATGTGGAAACCTGAAAAATTAAGGCTAGACTACGTAAGTGTGTTATTAAGGTTCAACTACAAAGTGGCTTGACGGCACCAAACACCGGCACTTGGTCATCGAGTCACGGTTAGAATCCGTTCAAGGGCAATGTGCTGCTTTGTTTGGATTTGACATATGAAGTTGTTTTTGTCATGCTGCCCACCGGGGATTTCCAAGGAGCTGAGAGTGACTGTGTTCCATGGGGAGGCTGCTGTCTTTAGTGATTATTCTGGTAGATCTCTTCGACTTCTCCATCTATTAAAATCTTTAAACTGTGGTAAATATATATACACAACAAAATTTGTCATTTTATAATATGGTTGGGTTAGTTATATTTACAATGTTGTCCAATCATCATGCCACAAAGAAATTTGATACTCATTAAGCATTCACTCCTCATGTCCCTTCTACCTCCCAAGCCAGGATAACTGACCCCACTCTCTGTTGTCATGCTTTTGCTTACCTGAGACATGTCAGTGGGGTCATGCTATACATGGCCTTTTACACCTGACTTAGTTCATGGAGCATTCTATTTTCAATGTTTACCCATGTGGTATGATCATTTGGGATTACATTCCATTTCAAACAATTCTCCCCTCAGATCCTGTTCTGCTTACCCAGTTGTGTATTGGTGAACTACTTGACTACTTGCACTTGAAAGCTCTTTGGGGGATATTGTTAAACCGCCCCGCCCCCACGCCTCCACCACACACACACTAATATTGTGGAGACATTGTGTTCAGACGGGGCCTCGTCATTCGTGGACATGGTCTCTGATGGAGTACACAGAACGCATCCGGCCTGAGGCCAGTGTGCTGCTTTCTGAGTAAGTGAGAAAAGAAGGAAGCCAAGGCCCGCCGAAGACCTAGGTGTGGACAATGGTGTTAGCTTACCTCAGGGGGCTTTTTGCTCCTGAGCCTGAAATCACTGTGTCTTGAGGAGTTTCCAGTAGTGTTTAGCGTCTTGCTCAGGAGCCTCTCCCCACCCCCACATACCACAGAGATGAGACAGAGGAGAAAACAAAAGTTTCTTTTTCTTTTTTATTGGCAGCTCTGGTAGCACCAAGGGGCACTAGCAAGGCCTCGGTCCCCTCATGTGGTACCAGTCAGCAGTGGGGGTGGGTAGAACCCACTCCAGGGTCTCAGAGAAGGGAACCAGAACACAGGGATGGCAGTCGGTCAGAAATGACATCTTAGATATGTCACCGGGTGACTGCAACTTGGAGACTGGCTTACGGGCACGTAGGGTCTTGACACTTCTAAAATATTTGGGAACACTTCTTTGGGTACAGACATTTTGGGATAATCAGAGAGAAAAAAAAAAGCCAGAAGTACAGGCTATTTCTATTCTATTCGCATGGCCCTAACTGACTTTATAGGTAGAAATATTTCCTCTTTAAGCAGACTAAGTTCATTATTTTCAAGTCTTTCTGACTCAGACAACTCTACCAGACAGGGCAGAACTGCCCCAGAGGGTTTCCAATGTAGACTGAATGTATAGAGAAGCAATTGACCACATCTTTCTCCCATGGGGATCTAGGTGTCCACACCGCTGCTTTGTAGCCACGTGCTCATCACTAGGCCACTGGAGTCCTGTGACTTATGAACTGCACATCTCAGTAGATACTTGAAATAAAGAAAATCATTGCAGTTACATAGGCTCCTTAGTGGCATGGTGCACTACAAACCAAGCTGCTGTACTTAGAAAAAAAATTAATCTGTCTCCTCTAGCAAAGATTTAAAGTTTCAAAATCTCACGAGGGCAGTTCTACCCTGTCCTCTTGGTTGCCACGAATCAATCAGAATCAATTCAGTGGCTGTGAAAATTGGATATTGAGTTAGGAAGACTGAAGAAAAACAGATGCATTTGAATTCTTATGATGGCGAAGAATATTGA